GGTTGCGAAGTTCAGACATGCACAGAAAGCAAAATCGGGGTTTAAAGTAACACAGCAGTCTTAAATTTCTTTTTCGCTTGCTCTCCTCCCCTCCTTTTTCGCTTTTCTTGAATAATTTTTCCCCTTTTTCTGGGAGTTAAGCAGGCTTCATTTCGATGGGAAAGGTTTCTGGGAAAGCTTTTAGCTTTTTAGAATCTTAGGATGAGAAAAAAGGAAAGGTATGTGGGTGGTGGAACAAGATTTTTGGTGACAGGGAATTTTTGAGTCAACTTTAAATGTTTTTTTTGGCCTTCTTGGCCGAATTGTGCACAACTTAGCTGACAACTTGTCCTTGATCGTTAAAATTGTTGACGTCTCAAGCGGTAGAAGGGACATGGGGCAACATGGGTGGTTATGGGCAGTTCATTGGCAAATGGGTTAAATTGAGTGATATTCCTCCCCCCCCAACCCCAAACCAAGAGCTATCAGTTTGTGTAACAATAGTAACCATTCATTTATTATTACTTCATTGATTACATTTTAATGTATCATATCATTAGTAATGCATCCTATTAACTTAAAACAATCTTCAAGTCAGCATTGGCAATAATATTATTATTACACATTGTACTCACTATGTCTTCTTACAGACTAAGAGTCTACTGATCTGTAGTTTGCACATACAATTCATAGTTTCCAAAAGCAAAGTCAATTTTGTTCCTTGCAATAGTGCGTTTGACGTTATTTTTTTAAAGACAATGTATAATAAAACATTATTATTAGTTTTGGTTTTTGTGATGTCCGGCATAATCAAGGTCTCAGTAAGTTTTACCAGCCTCGGCCTTCTGCTTATCTAATAACACTTACCTTGACAATTCCGGATATCACAAAAAACCTCATCCCATATTGTTTATAATAATCAAATCATACAAAACAATACCAGCTTTGGTAACAGAAAGGTTGAACACAAAGGTGATTTTTACTCTACTTAATTTAAAAAATGAAAAACAGTAGAATGAGTTTCAGTTATCCATACAGTGGACTCCTGATAATTCGTACCTTCTAGGGAAATAGAACAAAGTTTGAGTTATCGGGAATTCCAGTTATCGAGGGTAAAATTATGTATGAAATGATCTGAAGGGAAATGAAAATTCCTTCGAGTTAGCAGGAGGTTCGAGTTATGGAGGGTTTGAGTTACCGGAAGTCAACTGTATAAGCCTGATAAGATTACAATTTCATCCAAAATTTATGGTGACCCAACAGTGGTCTTAACAACTTGTTGTTACGTGTTTATAAGATAAGAAAATTGTTCATTTTGGGTCAAGTATATTGGTGATGATCTGGTATTTCATAAACCGAGACTATTCATTTCGACATACAACTATAAAGTGTAGATCAAAGAATATATTGCAGCAGACAAATTTTACCATTCTAATTAAGCCATTGTCAAGTTTGTATTAACTGAGATGCTCACTGTATTTCATTATTTTTGCTTTTGAAGGCAATTAATTGTTGAGGGTGTGAAACAACTCTGTCCCACCAATTTCATACATGTTCATGCTGGGGATTCATTTTACAGCCTTCCGAACAAAGTTTCACACCGAGAGTGATACGGACTTGAACTAGAATGAACACTGCCTGAACACTGCCCATGACTGTTTTTTTTTTTCCACGCTTCTGTTGGAAATTCATAAGCCCTGTTTTCCCATGGAGGGTCACATTTATAGAGAAAATACAGGAGGCAGTTTAATAGAACTTTTACAAGTGTAATTTACAAGAGTAGCTACTGTTATTGAGTCTAAAAACAATAGCTACACCTGTAAAAGTTTCATTAACTGGGCCACTTGCACTAAGAGGTCACGTGACCAATGCATCCTATAAGCAATGAGTTGGAATCTTGCTGATGCCAAAAATTGACAGAGCACATAAAAATTATCTTACACCTGAGATTTGAGAGGAAACACAGATTATTTATGCACTTTGGTTTTTCAACAAAGCATACTCTTGCCCTCCAATGTTGCGGCCAAAACTACTTTTTGCTTATTATCTTGTTAAACGTTTGATAGTTATGCCCAGATGTGCTGTAAACGTTACCATATCATCTTTTCAACATCTTCGTTGAAGTTTAGGCGTAAAAGTTGTGTTCAGAAAGAGGAAATTCATAATTTTAAAAATCACATTTTGGTCAAGTGACCAGCTACGAACTTACTCATTTTAGGAAAATGGTGCGGGTTTGAAAACCAAATTACTATTATTTTGTTTAAGATATGACCCACTAACCGTTTTTTGAAGGCAATTAATCATTTAACTTTCATTTTCACAAAAACGATGTCACATGACCTCTTTGTCCAAATGGCCTATTAACCCCTGAAGTTTCATTAAATTGACCCCAGGGGTCAATTTAAAAAAATTTTTCAAGTGTCATTTACAAGTGCAGCTATTGTTTTAGTGCCTGTAAACAATAGCTACACTTATAAATTACACCTGTAGAGGTTTTATTATATTGACCCCAGGTTATTTAATAATAAATTCACTATGTGACCATATTAAAAGGGTTTTCTTATCAGGAGAAAGGTGCCCATATTAAAATAGCAAATGGTCTCTTCCCATAGGGTTTCACTGTTCAACTCCTGGGGGTAATAGGTTGAATAATGATTTTATGAAAGTCCAAAATTCCTCTTGGAATTCTGAGAGGAGCCATAGCACCTGGATGAAAGTCATCAGGAAACTTTGCACAAGGCTTCCACTCATTCTTGTCAACATCATAAACCCTCAAGAAATACTTCTCTGAACTTTCTTGGTCCCAAATACCGCTAACAAAAACAGTTCCTTTGAAACCTGTGGCATTAAAACAGCACTTTGGAGCAGATGTGCTCTGAATGGCTGTCCAGATGTTTGAAATTGGGTCATACATTTCAATGATGCTTGAAAATACATCTGATGAAGTAAGGCTCGTCAAGCCTCCAAATAAAAAGACTTTACCCCTTAACATAACTCCCTGAGGGCAGGTTTTCTTTTCACAAATTGAGGCAGCTTTACACCACATGTTTGTTTTGGGGTCAAATCTTTCTACCACATCCACTAACTGATCCTTTGTCCGACCTCCAATTGCATACAGGCTTTTCTTGTCAGCTACAGCACACGGTCCAGATCTGGAAATGCTCATGGGTGCTACCTTTTGCCATAGGTTTGTGTCAGGATTGTACCTATGCACACACTTTGCATGCTCATTTCCTACTGCTCCACCAATCAAATACAAAAACCCTTGGAAATTAGCTAAAGATGCACCCCGTTGACCACCGCTATATGAAATCACAGTCCCCCAAGAGTTCAATGCTGGGTCATACCTTTTAATTTTACAATCAGCAGGATGGTTAATATACAGTTTACCATGAGAAGCACACATGGTATGTCTGCTCACGGATTGGTCTGACAGCTCATACCACGAGTTTTCAGAGTAAACATAACAAATTGTTGCATTTCTTCCAGTGACAACAAGGCAATTTTCTGATGTCTTCAGGCAGTTTCTTGGTGGCTGGGCAAAAAAACACTCTTCAGAGCCAGATGAAACATCTTTCATTGCTTCTAATACAAATGACGAGCATGTTTTATTGTCGGCCACCAAAGAATGTGGCAAAATTTCATTGAAAACATAGTTGCGTGACACGTAAACCGAACATGACGGAAGAATTCAAAGAATCCTTCGCGTTCGTGGTACTCTTTCGCTTCCCACCATTTAACAATAACCTGGAAAACGTCCTCCTCTCCTCTTACTTTGATATCATTACTTGAAATCCACTCTTCCACCTCTTTTATGCTTAAATTCAGAAAATCTTCCTGCTCAACTACTGTCATGAAGTTCCTACAGATAAAATCCCTCGCTTTCCAATGCAGATCAGTGCACTGATACTTAACAGCAAAATAGTATGCCATTAGACAGTTGGAAGAAGACAATGTTTGTGCGATGAACTTGCTTGTAATCTCTTTCAGACTTGGAATGACAAAAAAGTCGGCTACTTCTAGAAGGTCGAATGCCTTGCTTTGCGTGAGGCCAACATGTCCCGTGTAAAGATATTCTAACAATTCTTCCATCGCAGCTTTGCTCGTGTTTTCTAATCTGATAACTCCCTCATTCTTTTCTTTCATGTTGCTGTTAAGAGCATTGTAGAAGAATGGACTTGCTGCACATAAAACGATTCTGTGCGCTTTCAGGCAAGCCAGATCATCCCCAGAGCCAACTTCAAGAACCACATCAGAGAACTGCTCGTTCTTTCGTTGAACATTGAGCCGCTTCATTATTTCGACGCAAAAATCTTTCATCTCAGTCTTCTTAATTGGTCCCCACGATAAACCATTCATCATGATGTCAATACAAGTCTCAATAACAAGAAAACAGAGAGTAAATCAGTGTATTATCCTAGCTTTCCAGGCCAACGAGGGTAAATAATGGCGCGAAAATGCGATGAAACTTGACTACGCATATTGAGAAGAGCTTTCCGCTGACCGGTCATTATAAGACGCGGACTACGGACTGCGGACTGCGGACTGCGGACTGCGGACTGCGGACTGCGGACTACGGACTTCAGACTGGGTATACAACGTAGACTGCGGACTGCGGACTGGGTATAAAATACGGATTACGGAATACGTTGGTAAAACTGGTGCTAATTGGCTCTAGGTAAGAAAGATAAGAGCAAAAGATCGCTAAATAGCAAGACACGTGAGTTTAAGTTATAAACTCTTAGAAATTCTTGGTGGAGGTGTGCATCCCGGCTCTCTGAATCATGAGCCTGACAAAAAAGCTATTTTCTACACCCATTTTTTTTTTAATCATGAAAGAGGTCAGGACCCGGGGGATACTCCCTTATATAAGCCATATAGGTGTGTGCCACCTTAAAGGGTAGGATTTTTGGGCCTTTTTGGTCTGAAAGACACTTTGCTCATTTTGGTCCGGAATCGGGTATGGTTTTCGAGGAAACTGCGGGAGCATTCATGTATGAACGTATTTATCGTTTCACTTCCATATGAATAACAACAGAAGAGAAATATGCGAATTCGAAATGCGTTTGAAGAATTCATAGTTTGACCTCTAATCTGGTAATCATAGGCGTACGGGCAATTTTTTGCCAGGGGGGGCGGTAATCCATTTGCCCAAAAAATTCTTGCAAGTTGCCCATATTTTCACAAAACAGTCGAAAGGAAACTAGGGCCATGCAACAAAATAGGCCGTACTGGCATACGAAAGTGGCTCGATACAGTTTTTCAGAGTCAATACCTGCCAAGTCTGAACATAAACTACGTCGCCACAAACAAGCATTCGGAAAAAATTGCCACCACAGTTGTATTAGATAAAGAGGGAAATTTGTCATGATCAGGATTGCAATGACATCTGAGCTGTCATAGCAACGAAATGACGCCATTACCTATTATACTTGCAGCAATATTTCTCACTGGGAACTGTTCTTACAAAATCGTTCAGGGGAGCTCTTTCCTTCAATAGTCGCCTCGATGTCCGTGAAGTTAAAACGGAACTGTAAGAGCGTTATCGAGATATTTTGGGATGAAGTTTTTATCGTTAGAAATAAGGTAAAAAAGGAAAATCTTGATGTTTAGTCGTAATCTGAAGAAAACGGAGCGCCTTTGACATGCAATTTCACCTCACAGTAGTTTCAATCTTATTAAAAACGTGTATGAAAGATCATGGAGATAGCTCCTGCCAATTGCTATAAGGAAGGATTTTGATTAGCGCTCGATCTCGTTAGGGGTTACTTAAACATTTCGGTCTACTTAAACAAATTAGTGAATAATTTTTAAACCCCTCGATAGATTTTTTTAAGAAAATTATGATTCTTCTCGTAATTCAAACTGAGAATAAGTCAGCCACTTCACTTTCAGACCCATTGCTGATGCGTGTTCTGCTACACACTGTTCTAGGAGCGGAGGTGATTCTAGAAAGTTATGCGGAAGTTTATTCTAATCAATTCATGACTGGAAATAACCAACTCCAGCTAGTACAGTGAAGTACAGTGCCCAACAAAAAAAAATCAGCATATGATACCCTACCCTTATAACCAGAAACTCATCACGTGCTAGGCAACCACTGTCTCGTGTGAACATAACTGAATTATTACGCCGACTTCTGGTTAAGGTGATTCCCTGGTATTGCATTGTGCATCTCTTACTGCGCATAACAAGATGGCGTCCGTAAAAAGAGCATGTAAAGTAACATTATTCAAATGAAGTTGACCGAGGAGAAAGGCTATTGCAATTTTTGCTTGCGATTGTTTCTTGCCGAGGTGAGACTCGGTGTGGTGGGAATGTGCATAACGTAAGTAGTACGCGTGTTGCTGAGTTCGACTTCCTCACGGAGAACCTCGATAGTGGATGTTTAATTTGTGCTTATTCACTCTAATTTTCATTTAAACGCTTTCTTTATCACATTGTGTCCTAAATGTGGTATCTCGATGTAAATTCTGTAAAAACGGATTTTTTAATACTTTTTTCCCCCTTTCACATACATTCTATTTTGAAACTCGCCCAAGTCCTCCCTCAAAAATCAAGGAAAATGCATTTGGTGCGCACTTTCTGCAGCTCTACCGCAAAAACGAGTACGGTGACCCCCATTTTTTATTTCATGATTTTAATAAGGACAGTGCTTCCTTTCGGTGAGAAAAAAATTGGCACAAATCTATGTTCAGTTTTTTGGCAATTTTACTAAATTGTACGGATTGAGCTATCACGTGTCGAATAGCGCGTGTCCAATTTAATTCTACTTTGTAGCGTAAAGTAAAAACCAGGGCATTAAAAGGCATTTTTATGGTACGTAAGTGGATAAACAATACATTAAAGTCAAATTCTGTGCGATACCACATGCGTCATTGAAAAAATCTTTCTTTTTTGTCTAGTTTTGGGCTACGCGCGGTTTTTGTCAAAGGGTCCAAAATAGCCGTATTTGTCAGCATTGTGACGTCAAAACGAGCACGGTGACCCCCACTTTTTATAATTTTTTTATCATCTTCTTGACTTGTTACATCAGTGTACCAAGTTTCATCTACAATCTATGTTAGGTTCTTTTACTAGGAAATCACCTTAAAATAGAAAATATTTATCTCTTTAAAATAATAATAATAATAATAAACATGGAAACGTCTTTAAAAACTGGCTTTGCCCAAAATTTCTCTTGCTGCCCAGAAAATCTGAGTTGCCCAAACTTTGGGGGGGGGGGCTGCAGCCCCCCTCACCTCCCCGGCCCGTACGCCTATGCTGGTAATGATTACATAATTTCTTCAAGAACGAAATCACAGAACTGCTCGTTTCTTCGTTGAACGTCGAGCTTTTGAACAATTGGGGGCCAGATCTCTACAATCCATACTTATTTTCAGACCTCGCCCGTACTTGAAAACTTTCGTCCCGCCTTTTCTCCCGACCCGACTGACTGCCCCTGGGTTTCCGAGGCTGCTACTCGTCAAGATGGCGTCGTAAACCGTGACGAGGTCTATTGTACAGTACACTGTTCTCGATCGGCTTCAATTGCCTCACTGAATCAGTGCCGGAATAAGTTCTCGTTAACTGGGGTCAAATGAATGGAATGAATATTTCAAGAAAAATAGGAGAGCAAACGAACAAGTTTACTTTGCAAGGTAGCTTGCAAAGTAGGCGTATTTTGCAGTGCGAACGACTTGAACGTTGAAACTGATCAAGAGNTTGGCACAAATCTATGTTCAGTTTTTTGGCAATTTTACTAAATTGTACGGATTGAGCTATCACGTGTCGAATAGCGCGTGTCCAATTTAATTCTACTTTGTAGCGTAAAGTAAAAACCAGGGCATTAAAAGGCATTTTTATGGTACGTAAGTGGATAAACAATACATTAAAGTCAAATTCTGTGCGATACCACATGCGTCATTGAAAAAATCTTTCTTTTTTGTCTAGTTTTGGGCTACGCGCGGTTTTTGTCAAAGGGTCCAAAATAGCCGTATTTGTCAGCATTGTGACGTCAAAACGAGCACGGTGACCCCCAATTTTTTTAATTTTTTTATCATCTTCTTGACTTGTTACATCAGTGTACCAAGTTTCATCTACAATCTATGTTAGGTTCTTTTACTAGGGAATCACCTTAAAATAGAAAATATTTATCTCTTTAAAATAATAATAATAATAATAAACATGGAAACGTCTTTAAAAACTGGCTTTGCCCAAAATTTCTCTTGCTGCCCAGAAAATCTGAGTTGCCCAAACTTTGGGGGGGGGGGCTGCAGCCCCCCTCACCTCCCCGGCCCGTACGCCTATGCTGGTAATGATTACATAATTTCTTCAAGAACGAAATCACAGAACTGCTCGTTTCTTCGTTGAACGTCGAGCTTTTGAACAATTGGGGGCCAGATCTCTACAATCCATACCTATTTTCAGACCTCGCCCGTACTTGAAAACTTTCGTCCCGCCTTTTCTCCCGACCCGACTGACTGCCCCTGGGTTTCCGAGGCTGCTACTCGTCAAGATGGCGTCGTAAACCGTGACGAGGTCTATTGTACAGTACACTGTTCTCGATCGGCTTCAATTGCCTCACTGAATCAGTGCCGGAATAAGTTCTCGTTAACTGGGGTCAAATGAATGGAATGAATATTTCAAGAAAATATAGGAGAGCAAACGAACAAGTTTACTTTGCAAGGTAGCTTGCAAAGTAGGCGTATTTTGCAGTGCGAACGACTTGAACGTTGAAACTGATCAAGAGTTGGGGAGGTCAAAAAATGATTCCACGGGACAGGTTGACGGGACAAAATAGGAGAGGAAGAGAGGGAGATGAGAAAAAAATCACTTGTCTGCCGCTCCCCCCTTAGTTTTCCATTTGCTTTCATGACGGCGGCCGCGATCAATGTACCGTCTGGGTCCGCTTTCTTTAAAAAAAACGCCTGCTGTGCAGGCTATAATTAGGGCACTCGAAATTCCTTGGAAAATCTACCGGAAACCGAAAGGATGAAACAATAACTCGACACACAGTAAACGCACATTACTTTTAATCTACTGATAACTATGCACATCCGCATAGCTCTTCATTTTTATTACTAACAATTTGAAAAGAAAAAAGAAGATACACGTTTCGAACGCTTGATCTTAGCGAATGTTTAATCAGACAGGAAAATTTCTCAACTGTCTGTATCGCTAAAAATTATTACAAATTATTTAGTCTGAAACAATTGTACAGGCCTTGCGTAGAAACTTAAAAATTCCAATCCGAATTCCATGGGACAGCATTGAGCTGCTCAAAATATATTACAAGACGATTCTTTCACGAGTAAATATTCTTGTTGAAGGTATCTGTT